CATTGCTCCGCTCCCCCCGCCGCTGCCCATGGGGGAGCGACCCCTGCTGTGGGCGCCAGGCCCCCGCTGGTCTCCCAGGCCAGCCAGAGGCGCTGGCTCCCGGCTCCTCCCACCCACGGCGTTTGGAGGGTCCCCTGCCCCCAGCGCCCCCTTCGCACGTCGCCCCGGCAACAGGGTAACTCTTCTGTACGAAGAACCAACCCCGCTCTGGGGTGCGGTCGCAGGCGCGTTGTGAGCAAGGCACGAGCAGCGACTGTTCCTCCTGCCCGACCGCGTCCAGCTCTGGGAGACTCATTTCAGAACAGACGGGACCAAACTGGGGAAAGTTCAGAGAGGAGCAGCACAAACGAGGAAAGGGCGAGAAAACCCGGCCTGGGAGGGCGACTGAACGAACTGGGCTCCGTTAGTCTGGGAAGGAGCAGACGGAGAGGGGACACGAGAGCAGCTTTCAAGTATCTAAAAGGATTTTACAGGGAGGAGGAAGAAAAATTGTTCCCCTTGGCCTCTGAGGACCGGACAAGCAGCAATGGGCTTAAACTGCAGCCAGGGAGGTTTAGTGAAACACTGGAATAAATTGCCTGGGGAGGTTGTGGAATCTCCATCCCTGGAGATAGTTAAGCGCAGGCTGGACAGACACCTGCCTGGGATGGTCTAGACAGAGCTCGGTCCTGCCGTGGGTGCAGGGACTGGCCTTGATGGCTTCTCGAGATCCCTCCCAGTCCTACGATTTTATGGGTCTTGGCTCTGGTCCTCCCCAGACACAGGGGGTACCACCGCCCCTCAATGCCCCCCCCTACCCCTATCTGCAGGGGCTGCCAGAGGCCCAGGGAGGGAGGGATGAGGGGAAGGAGAGAAGCCTCACACCCGGGTCCAGCATCCTGCCTGAGCAACAGTGTGGTGAGGCCAGGAGCAGACGGGCAGCAGCGGGCAGAGCTGGCCAGGCGGGAAAGGCTGAGGAGGAGGATGGGGCAGGTGGTGACGGGCTTGTCTCCTGTCCCACCCACTGCAGGTGCTCCCTTGGCTCCGGGGGTGGCTGGGACTGGGGGGGGGAGGGGGCAGAGAGGGGCCGTGGTACTCTAAGGGGGAGTGGGAAGAACACAAAGGGGATTTGGAGGACGCAGAAGAGGG